AGAGAAAGGGCAGGGGAGAGAGAGAGAACGAGAGGGGGAGAGTATCCCAAGCAGTCTGCATTAACAGTGTGGAGTCTGATGTGGGGCTTGATTCCCATGAGCCTGGGATCATGACTTGAGCCGAAATCGAGAGTCGGATGCTTAACCGACTGAGCCACCCAGGGGCCCCCATGCCCTAGGACTTTGACAGGCGGCCCTGAGTGAGGTCAACACTTCCAAGCCCCAGGGGCAGAGTATCTGGGGAAAATGAACTGGTCAGCAGCAAATGCACCTGGGTCAAAACACACCTGCTCTTCTAGAAGAACACTTGGCAGGGATTCCAACCAGCCTTGTGGGCAGCTCAGAAAAGGCATCTTGCCAGGAGCCTTAAAAATTTCCATACTTGTTGGACCCTGCATGCTCTTTGGGGTCCATGCTAAGAAAATAACCAAACCACCTCCCCCTGAAATCTTATGCAAATATATTTATATTTTATTTATATTAACGAATATGGTCGTGGAGGAAACTTAACTCTCCAATAACAAGAAAATGATCTTGCCACCACAGGATATCGGTTCACTGAATGCAGGATCATAAGTCTTGATAAGAGATTTATCAAGAATTTATTTTGCAATCTATAAACCTGTGTACTGAGTATGACCAGAACTAATTGATGCTAAAACTTAAAAGATACAAATACAGTGTAAAATGCATTTTAAGAGAGAGTAAAAGAAAATATCTCAGAATATTGGTTGTTTTTGAGCGGTGAGACTATGGGCAGTTTCGGTTTTTCTAATTTTTTTTCCACCAAACTTAAATGCCGAGGATTCATTTTCACTTCTAATGAAAACAGCAACGAATTTTGTTGAAAAGAAAACTATTCGGCGATGGTTTTCAGGATGAACTGTACTTAAATACAGCGATAGGACTCCCTGCCTCCCGCCAAACCAATCTCATAAGTCATATTTAAGGATGTAGAGAACGAATCAAACCATGTTCAGGTAGACTACGGATGAAAACCACATTTGTTCCGTTTAGAGGAGTCCAAACAAGTCTGAATGTAGGAAGCAAAACAGGGAGGGATGACATCGGAGGGGCAAGAGAAACCACAAATGCAGAGTGGTCTGGAGCCTCGTGGGCTCAGCCAGGTGAGATTTCTTGGACGATATCACACCGGAAGGGGTGGCCCCAGGATTCAGATGTCCTCCTCACTAGTGAAAAGGGGACACTGACGTTTAATTCAAAAGATGTGAGGTAGGAAAGGACAACAGAGCGTTTCAGTTCAACGTTTTGCACCAAGTGTTGGCAAGCACTCGGACAACGATACTTAATAAAAGGGGATTTTCTCATCTGGGGTGTCTAGCGTCAGCCAAGCAGTGGTCATAGCTCCAAAGAACAGGACAGACTTCTCAAGAGCATCAGATGGAATCTGCTCCTGCCTTAAATAAGGAGACCGTCTGCTTGGGAGTGTTTTGTATAAATAGTTACAGATTGTGAAAATGTGACGTCACAACGTTAAAAAAAAAAATTAAATGGCAACACCCAACACCGATGAGGTTGTAAAAAAACACAGAAATCTGCATGTTCTGCTGGTTGTAGCCCTTCCAGATGACAACAGGCAATATACAGCAAGAGCCAAATAAGAGCTCTTAGACCCAATAGTTCCCTATCTGCAAATGTATGCTGAGGAGGTAAAATGACAGAAGGGAAAAGCTGTGTGCGTAGAAATGCTAATTAAGCCATTAGTTCTAACAGCAAAAACTAGAAATGACCTAAATGCCCCATCATGCGAATTTCCAAATGATAACCCACCAGCAAGAGCATATATCCGGCATCCATTACAATTACGGAAAACTAAGGAATGAGATAATTTGAGGAAGGAAGAAGGGAAAAGAGGGGACAGGAAACCCAATAGTCTGAAGACTTCCAACCTAGTAAACAAAGAAGAAACTGTCTGTGTTGGAATGGTGGTCTTGGAGCCTTTCTTTCCCTTTTTAAGAACTGCTCAGAGTTAGCACATTATCTCATCATCAGGCGTAATTCAGAGCAGTGTTTTAAGTGATCATGTGGAAAATGTGATATCTCTTACTATTCTAAAATGAACCCAACCAACCTAGCTTGGGCATGTTGAAAGGCACAAAGAGTTAACACATGGGAGAAGTATTGTGATTTTAGATGTGTTTTGTGTGTGTGTGTGTGTGTGTGTGTGTGTATGTGTTTAATGCAAACTTCTAAAAATGGTCCCTCCTGGTGACCAGAACGGGCACAGTTTACAAGCCAAGGCTTTCTGGCCTGGTGCTGACCTTAATGAAAGTAATCAGGCCTCCTTCACTGAAGTTCAAAACAAAACCACCCATAACCCCATTTGAAAACAGCGAAACCACAAGCCACAGCTTCAGCCTTTACCGGGGATGCTTCAATTTCTGATTTCCTATTGATAGAGGGGTCTCTCTTAATCAGCCATGGAAGTGAAAATCGGCTGCCCTTGGGAGAGAGAGTGCCTCCAAAGAAGATGGCTGTTGGGAAACTGGCTCTCTCCTCCTGTTCTGGGTGGATTCCATGGCGCTGGGCAACGGTGGAGAACTCTGGACTTTGAGTCCATTAGAAGCTAATCCTAGGGAACCAAGGCCAGATGCAGACCTATTCACAACTGGGACGAGAGAAAAAGTCCGTGGGGCTGACGCCGGATAAATGGCACGTACAGAAATAATCTGTCAGGTCTATACTAGGCGCTGGGCACCGGGAGGACGGCCAGGTCCCGTGCTTGGGTACCACGCCAAATAATCTTCCTTTGTGAATAGTTCACTCGTTGTATAAATTCAATGCGCATCGACTGCTGGTCGATAGGCTACTCATTAAACAGTGGGATGTAGCAGAAGGCGCGTGGATTTGAAGGTGATAGACCTGGATTCCAATGCAGATTCTGCTACTCCCCAGCTATGGGACTGTCGGTAGGTTACTTTGTTTCTGTAAACCTCAGTCCCATGATGCGAGCATGAAATGAGCGTGATGTGCCTAGACCAGCAAGTGGCACATATTCGCTACATAGTATCTGCAGTTAGTACTGACAATGGTAGAGTAGGATCACTATTATAGGATTAAAATATATATTACCTGTACATAAATATTTCATATATGCTCTTTGTAACACACACACACACACACACACACACACACACACACACACACACACCTGGCCTCTGGTGAGCACCAGCAGCCTCGGACTTAGAATAAGCTAAAGAAGGAGTGAGGCTCTTGCCCACCTGCTTGCTCACCTTTGCACTTGCTCATCTCGTGCAAGGTGAAGACGCCTACAGACCCGAGATGTAAATTCTTTTATGGTTACCTTCAACCCCGGGTTTCCACAATGGAGCACAGAGTATATGTTTGTTGAGTGAATGAGTAAATGAAGACTTAGTCTACCTGACTTAGAGAGCCTCTTTTTTTTTTTAAGTTTATTTATTTTGAGAGAGAGAGAGAGTGCAAGTGGGGAAGGGTAAGAGAGAAAGGACAGAGAGAGAGAAAAGATGCAGAGCTTGAACTCACAAACCGTGAGACCATGACCTGATCCAAAGGGAGATGCTTAACCGACTGAGCCACCCAGGCACCCCGAGAGGTTCTTGATTCGGGGGAATACTCACCGCAGGTCTCCCCAAGCCTCATCTCATCCTCCTGATGCAGGATCCATATGGAAATCAGGCAGCACATCAACCTTAACAGTGCAAGGAGGCAGGCAGGCAGCACAGTCTCCCTCAGTTCGCTTTGATATGTTGCATATCACCTCATCGGAAAGGGGTAACATCTGAGCAGAAACCAGAATGTGGTATGAGAGGAAGCCATGCAGGTCTCTGGAAGAAAAGCATTTTGGCAGAGGGAACAGCAAGTACAAAGTCCTTGAGCCGGGAGTGTGTTTGGCATATTTCAGGAACCCAAGAAGGCTAGATTGGCTTCATGTAGCGGGTGAGGAGAAAGTGCTAGAACATGAGATTGAAAAGCTAGCTGGGAACCAGTTTATGAAAGAATCCCTAGGGTATGGTAAAAAAATGTGGACTTTACTCAATGAGATGAGAAGTTGTATCAGTTAGTATCTGCTGCGTGACAAGTAATGATGAAACTCTGTGGCTTAAGATAACAAACTTTCATTTTTTTTTTCAGTTCTGTGGATCTGGGAGCTTCTTCTCATCTGGGTTCTTATTGGGGTTGGGGAGCTTCTCATCTCGGTTGGCTTGGCTGGGGTTGACTAGTCTGGGGTAGCCTCACTCACAGGTCCAGTGGTTAGCTTGATGTCACTTAGGGTAGCAACCACATGTCATCGTCCAGCAGGCTATCCCAGGCTCATTCACCTGATTGTGGTTCCAGAGTTGCAAAGGCAAGCCCCAGTCCACAGACACTTTTCAAATTTTCTAAAGCAAGTCATGTGGCCCAGGCCAGAGCCGGTGTAGTAGAGGACTGTCCAAGGTGTGGGGACCAGGAGGAGAACTGTGAGCACCACTTTGCAAACAGTCAACCTCAGAAACTCTAGAGGGTTTGGACCAGAAAAGCGACATTATCAGGTTCATGGTTTTAAAGGAGCTGTGATCATAAGGATTTTGTGAGGGAGACTGTAGCCAGAGGAGAGGATGTGCCAAGCTCAGGGCCCTGGAAAGCACTGGCGTTTGCCCGTACCACAGGGCCAGGGGCCCAGAGACTCATGACGTTGCCTGACCCAAAACTGCCATCGTCAGGATGAACAATGGCACACACACACACGTACCCTACCGCTTGGTATTTCGGCCAAAGCATTCTGTCATGCCATTGTGGACTTGCCTGTATCCCTGCTGGAATGGGAAAGGGGGTTAGTTAGAAAGAGACCTCAATCGCCCCCATTCTGATGCACAGATAGATTCTCTAATCACCGAGAACTTGGTAATTGCAGGGGGAGCAAGCCATTGAGGACTGAAATAACCCGCGAGTAATAACAAAACCTCTCAAGGTGAAATTAAACAATAGTCATTTTTCTTTCTCTCTTCTTTCTTCAACAGAAAATATGATGCTGGCATGCTAATCGCGGGAGACAACTTGGCCCACAGACAGCCACAAAGCACAAAAACAAAACAAACTCAGAGAAGAAGAAACAAGAACGGTGTTTGCCTGGCGTCTACAAGAAGCGCTTTATTTTTCCTCTAGATTTCTTTTCTAAAAAAACAAAACAAAACAAAAAACAAAACTGAAACAAACATTTAAAGAAACAGTGCGAACTTCAGGTGATAATATTCAAGCATGTTCTTTTATTAAGCATAGGATGGGAGGAGTGACAGGAAGTCTAAGCAGAAATCTCCAGCAGGATAACGCAGAGGTCTTGAACCTCTGTGATCCGGGTTACTTCTAGAAACTGCAAATGAGGAATGAATGGAAACGACTTTTTATCCTCTGCTCCCGCAAATATCCTGTATATTCTCATGGACGCAATGCTTCCTTTCTTGCCTGCCAAGGTGTCTAGGGCATGATTTGCAGAATTTGTTACAATCTCTAAAGAATTTTGGGTGCAGCTTTGGCGAGGGAGTGGGCGGGCCAGCCCTTCTGTGACCCGCCAGCTCTGTGTATGGCACCCATTTCTAAGTGTCACCTCCCTCCTGGCTGGCTGGGAACAAGGGTCCCCAGTCATCACCGCGCCCACTCAAGCTTGGTCAGGGTGAGTCAGACAATGATCTCCTGGATCTGGGCAGCAAAGAAGGACAGACACTCGCCTCTTCTGCCCTCAACAGGAGAAGACCAGCTCCTGGCTACAGCGTGGCGATGGTAAGGCCGTGGCTTTGGTGGTGGCCAGGGTGGGGAGAGACGGGGGCACCTGGCTACTCTAAACAGTGTGAGAGAATTGCTTGGGCTTCCGCAGTGAGACAAGGGACCCGCACGCCAACTAAGCGTTCGCTTTCAAACAGGCCGCCACCAGGAAAGCAAAGAGACCCGGGCCTCACCCAGCCCCAGAGAAGGGAGATAGTCCCCCTGGCCCTGCCATTCCCAGCTTCTCACCGGCGCTTGGCATTTTTCCCTCTGTCGTGACTACTCTTACTTCCTTTGTCTGGTGGATCTGGGTTGGGGGCGGGGGGCGGGGGGGCTGGGGGGACCTGCAAAGGCCCGGGATCGTAAGTGGGCAGGGGCCCAGCGTCGGCAGCTACGTGCGCACACACACGAAGTGAGCGCGCGCACAGGGCGGGTGTGTGTGCCGAGCACGCTCACGGCCGCCCGCGCTCAGCCGGACTGGCTGCCGAGAGCTTCCTGGATTAACCGCTCGCTGAGCACCCACAGGGCGCGGGCCGTGTCTTCGCTCTGAGCTTCGGGGGACGGCACGCATCGGCAGCAGTTGTTGAAGTACATCCCTCCCAGGCCCTCGAGCTCTGGGGCGGCAGCACAGTAGACGGTGGTGGCAGCTCCTTGTTGCTGGAAATCAAAGAAAAAGAAGGCCCAAATCATTATTATTCTCATTATTGTCATTGTGATTATTTTTTTAAAGAAAAGAGGTGATGAGCTGACTTCATTCTGTCTGGGCATGAGCAAGCCCCTCCGCGTCGGGTTCGGCTGCACCCGGATCTCAGCATGGCAGAGGGTACTGAACTCAGCACGTGACCGTAAAAGGGATGCGGTGACCATCCTGGAAAAAAGCAAGTTCACAAACGCTGCTCGTAAAGCTGGTGTGACTTTTTACACCTCGTAGAGGAAAAGGCTTCAGAAATAAATACGCGCCACAATAAATCACATCAAAGGTCTCTTCTGAGCCAAGAGAAAAGATGGTCTATGCCTTTGAACATGCCGGAACAAGTTCATCCAACCCGTTGACTTCTGAATGCATGATGTGATTTGACCCCGAGATGTTTCCAGAACCTTCTGTCTGGATGAAACCAACCACTCTAATGCCCATCAGATACAAAACCCAGGGAGGCCCTGGTGCCAGAGCCTCTATTTTTTTTTTTTTTTGCCCATGGTGCTGCTAGGAGAAGGGTTTGCTGGGCGAAAATGTTTAAAACACGCCTACACACGTTCTTCTTGCCATGCATACGTGTCTCAAGCAGACACAGGACACGTGTAGTAATTCATCCAGATCCCATGAAAACCTTTCTTCATAGTCATCCCGTATTTGCAAGGGGACAGTGACTAAGGGGGGTACATTTCCTCCCAGGCCACTTCAAACTGTAAGTTGCCATGAGTACAATTGATTACTTTCGATTCACCTTCTGAGTAACAGTTGGTGCTGTGGCTAGGGATGTGTGTGCCGATGGGGCACCATATCATCCCGGCTGACACAATGCTGTCAGGGATGCTGTAAAGAGGGCAAGAAATCACTTTGCTTTGCAAGCCATAATTAAAAATAATAGGCTGGTGTTCGTAGGGAGACACGATAGGCACGGCTCTAATTTAAAACCAATACAGTTTACCTGGCATCTTATGATTATTTATGTGGATCACAGCCCTTGCTGCATCAACTAATTATCAGCTGATAGGGAGGGGGGGTTGCAGAAGAGGATGGAGAAAGGTAATGGGGATAAGGTCACCATTAGGGGAAGACCCTAAAGATATTTGAGAGGGAAATGCATTTCTGTCCGGGTGTCGTAATTTTAGGACAGTGCTAAAAAGTAGACTTGAGTGTTTTGCTCGTTTCTGTTTTTGTTTTTTTTGGTGGGGGGGGGGGAGAGAGGTTCAGTGTCGGGTTCTAGGGTCACATTTGAATTGGTCTGAAAAGCAAACGGTCAAACGCAGCCAAGCAACAGGATTTTGTGGGGAGCACTGTGGAGTGGAGAGCAGCGGAGAGCGTCCGACTTGAGTCCTAGTGGTCGCTGGATGCTTGACTGGGTTGGACAAGTCCCATTAGTCCAGAATCCGAACACCTGACATGACTCCAATTTAATTAAACAGGAATGGGTGTCTCATTTCCCCGACCCCCTGGCCATGTCCACTCCCCAGATAGCCAGTTATTTTCTTGGATTCAGCTATTTCTTTTCGAATTGATTTGTGTGGCTCAAGTGTAATGGAAATAAGTGTGTGTCATCCAAATTCCCTCTCACTGAATTATCATTCCTAATAACCCTTAGCTTAGCACCTGGCACATTTATCGAAAGAATTCCGAGCGGCTGATCTGACTCCTCTTCATGCCGCGTGGGGAAAAAGGGAAGCGGACTGCCTCTAAAGACAAATTGAAGAACTGAGAGGCTCAGCCTGGTAACTCAAGCCAAATATCGCTTTGGCCTCAATTCTTAGCAGAGTTCAGGTGGAGATAGTGTTTTGCTTCATTTTCAGGAGATCTACGATTTCCATCTTACTTTGCAGCGGCCAAAACCACCAAAGAGTGGTCGGGTGGTTTGCCATCAGTTCCCAAGTGGTGAGAAAACCCAGTGAGCTCATCCCCAAACGAAGGCGG